AACTAACTAACTAACTAACTAACTAACTAACTAACTAACTAACTAACTAACTAACTAGCTAGCTTTTAAGAACTGCTGAAACCAAAATAATAATGTCAGGGGACATAACAGTTAATTTGCAACATGCTACAGGAAATGGGCAGACCAACCTTTTTCTGATTGGGTGTCCACTTCTGAACTTTTGTCTTGTCCCAGGACTTGAGATTTGCGTGCATACTCGTTTTGCATATCTGGCTTACTTTTATGCAAACTGTTGATTCCTCACATCTTAGGCAGATGCATTCCGATTTCAAAAAAATAAAACCCATGATTAGTCGCATATTGAGATATGCTTGTTGAGGAAGCACGGACGCTCTAACCAACTGAAAATAGGGATAATTCCATACGTCCTTGTTAGGACGTAATTTTTTGTTATTTGAAGCCCCACTCTGGCTTTTGCCACGGGCCGCAATATGGGCAGGCCATCAATGTGGCCAATTGTCTGAACGCGGTTTCTGGGACCTCTCCACGGTGATCCTCATCCACATGGTGGCACTTAGTGTCATCGGGTGTTTATCGCTTGTGTGATGTCCTAGTGGGGTAGAAAGTCAGTCAGTCACGACGCTCTAACCAACTGAAAATAGGGATAATTCCTTACGTCCTTGTTAGGACGTAATTTTTTGTTATTTGAAGCCCCACTCTAGCTTTTACCAGGGGCCGCAAAATGGGCAGGCCATCAATGTGGCCAATTGTCTGAACGCGGTTTCTGGGACCTCTCCACGGTGATCCTCATCCGCATGGTGGTACTTTGTGTCATTGGGTGTTTGTCGCTTGTGTGATGTCCTGGTGGGGTAGAAAGTCAGTCAGTCGGAACGGGGTAGGGGAGAATACATTATTTTTTCCCCAAAATCAACGGAACCCACACAACTACCTCGTTAGCGTTTGAATAGGCGGTTGGCATTTTCTGTTGTAGTGTACAACTTGGCAACGATATCTACCCATTTCGGTTTAACCCATGCGATTTTTACAAACTCTTTATTAGTGGCTTCCTACGATATCCTTGTTAAAAAACAGTTGGTCTATTTTTTACCCATTCAAATTAGGCCACGAGAAACCTCATGAGGAGTGTATATCACCATTTGCTGAAGATGCAATAACCTGCAGTGACCTTCAGGGGAGGGCGCTTCATTTTGTTCAAACTTTGTCCATAATATTTGTATCCGTAATGAAGTTATTTATGCGTCTGTTCCATTTGTATTTGCATGTGCGTGACAGAGAGAGAGAGAGAGAGAGAGAGAGAGAGAGAGAGAGAGAGAGAGAGAGAGAGAGAGAGAGAGAGAGTAGGTGGATTGAGGGTGTGTGTTGTTTTTCGGTGTTGTTTGCTGACGACGGCTATCATGACATCCTTTATTTGTTTATTGTGTTACGTAAAGCTTACATAAATGTCCCTGTGCAAAACAGACGTGTCGCCTAGGAAATAATGTAGTAAACTGAACAATGAGATACGTTGTGCAAGTCAGTTACGTTGTGCAAGTCAATTCAATCGACAGCAATAGAGATTATTCCCCCGAAACACACAGTTGCCAGGAAACAAACTTGATAATAAATACAATTCTATAGTTTGATTGATTGACGATTAACCCCACAATTGCATCACACCAAGCGATAAACACCTGGTGACACAAAGTGCCACAATTTGATGTAGGATCACCCGGGGACAGTTCCAAAAAATCCCTTTCAACCCACAGCCTGGGTTATATTAGGGCCCCTGGCAACAGCCAGAGTGAGGCTTCAAAACAACAAACAGCTGCGTCTAACACTGTGACGTACAAAGTAGACACTAATTCTACAGCTGATCCATGAAAGAAGAAACAAAAAGAACGATAGAGATGAATATCGTAGAATAAATAAAGAAATATTGGGCCAATGCTAGGATACTAAAGAAACATGTCTGAACTAGATGTGCATAAAGATTAAGACAAATCACGGGAAAGGCATCTATTCCATATACTGGTAAACAAATATATTACCAGCGAAAAAGACATTTAACAGTACTGGGTGTTTGAAATCGAAGGATGGTGAAACAGTACTGGGACAAAGTAATCTAATTGACAGATGGACATTAACAATTTGCAGGACAACAGTGAAGGTCCATCAATATGGCTGCAGAAGCTGAAAAAGCATTATATAGACGGTGAATGTATCACAGAGATACAGAACAGAAAATGACATACTAAAACTGCAATTTATAAAATGAAGAACGCAGTTTATGCAGTAAATCTGCCACTGGATGTTAGACCAAGAAGTGTTGCATACAATACAGAGCCAGTTTTAACTTACATTGTAAATCCTGGGCAATTATTTAAAAAGCCAAACAATTTCCTGGGGCCTCAGAGATGCGGTTTTACAAAAATTCTTAGAATTCCTTGGACAGCAAAACAAATAAATAAGAAACAAAGCGTTTTGAAAGAAGCGACGGCTTGAAAATAATTTATCACACATATCAGAAAGAGACGGTCGTTTGTTGGGTCATTTCTGGAGAAAAAGGAAACTGTAACATGTTATGACCACTGGAAAGATATGTGGAAAAAGAAACAGAGAAAGACAACGCGGGAAAATTATTGGCAGGTTTTTGTCATGGCTTGGAAGGATTGAACTGACACGCGCTGTTGAAGATCTCAGAATGCGAAGAGGTATGATCGCCTACGCCAGACAGCAAGGCGCTCAGTGATGATGATGATATACTTGTCTCCATAAGCAACTGCAGACAGTGCCAATCTGTCGGCTCTTTCATTTCGTCTCACCCCTGCGTATCAAGATGTGTATCTAGCCAAGATAGTTTCTCAAGGTAGGACTTCTGGGTGCGTAAAATACGTTGTGTTGTTGAACGCTCATTGAGCGTGACACCCCTGCAACATAGGACAGACCCTGCAACGACACGACCAGGGATGAATGAGAAGGGAAGTTACTCTCTTCGTGAGTTGTTCCAATGTTTCTTCTAAGACGCTCGTATCCTGTCAGCAATCCTCTTCTCATGTGTCCCTACTTTTTCATAGTTTCAACTCTCCATGTCATGTGATCCATGATATGTGTTCCCACGAATCAACGTTAATAACTTTACATTTATGTCTCATTTGCACACATCTTTAAATCGTAGTAGAGCCGACCCGGACATCTGTAAATCACCACAGAGAATGTTCTTTGGGATTACCATCCACCATCCTCCTAAAGTGTATGCATCTGAATCTTCAGAAACAGACCATTGAGAAAACTGTACACCTTTCAATTGCACAAAACCTTGCCAGTATCGTAGACAATATTGAACAATATTAGAATCGTATTTAATTAAACCAAGAATGTACTAGGAGGAACCAAGTGTATTAAACAAAAAGGCATAATCGCTCATGATACTGACTTTTAATTTGCTATTTAAAAAAAAAAAAAAAACAGGAGCAAGGGTAACTTGTTTTTATTTAGATAAATACAATATGAAGTGAGTGGTGCAATGTGCAATGAGGATGATCTGTAAAACAAAAACACCTAGTCATATACAATAGAAGTTAGATGTTTAATTTGAGTAAGTGAAAGTTGCAATAACTCAACTGACTAATTTTTTACCCCATCAGGACATCACACAAGCGATAAACACCCGATGGCACAATGTACCACCATGTGGATGAGGATCTCCGTGGAGAGGTCACAGAATCCGCGTTCAGCCATTAGACCATATTTTTGGCCTAGCTATATTGCGGTCCCCGGCAAGAGCCAGGGTGGGGCTTCAAATAACAAAAATGTCATCCTAAAAAGGACGGTGAAAATGATAAAGACATGATGACATGTAATAACTTAGATATTCTCAACATTTATGTTGGGTGTTTGGTGCGAGCAAATGTAAGTGTAATAATTTAGACAGGCAATAGACAAGATGTGATTTTGATGCGAGTAAGGGTAGGGCATATTCGTTTACAAGTACAGAACAGTTAAGTTGGAAGTTTGATGCGATCAAGTAAACGTTATATTAAGGTATGCAAATGTTATAGTCATGTTGGATATTTAATATGAGCAAATGTACGCTGTATTATTTCTTTCAGTCTCAAGCACCGCATAATGGGTGTGTAACACTATCATATGATTTTCCTTCATTTAATAAAGTGATCTCTTGTTGTTTATTTTAGTATCCAGAAGCCCCGAGTTGTTAACCCTTAGGCCTTGATTCCATTGTAAATAAATACCGTAAATCTGGGAGAAATGTGGCTTTTCTGCCTACCCCCGGGAGTGAAGCCGGACCACAAGGAGTTCGTCACCCGGTCATAGCGCAACCCAGTTTAGCCAACTACGCTAGAGAGCCGGGCAAGTGATCTCTTAAGATTAACATTTAGTCCGAACAAATTTAAGAAATCTGGAAATTCGTGTAATTACCAATGTGCGTATTGTCAGTTAGAAAGTAATCGATTCACTTTTCTGTTTTGGAATCGTGTGAAACCTTCAAATACTGAAAGATTTAACTGAGGCATACGCAACAGGGAAGTTTTGCGCTTGGTCAATACTGATTGTCTGTGAGAAGACACACAACTGAAAGCCAGTATTGGAAACCCCCACAGAATTGCAAGCTATGTAATGCTTACAGCCCTTACGGTAACAAATTATAACCTCTTTTCAAGTTTGAAGAGCATAATTTGGATTTACTTTGTGCGATTGACATACAGAATTTGTTGTTTGTTTCCTTTAAGTGATCCAAACTTCTATAAACTGTTCCAATTGTCATGCCCGACTTTACAAAATCAAGTCAAATATAAAATCATAACCACATGCTAAATATAAGGCCACGAGCACAAAGTTTTGTTAATCCATACATGAGCTTTCTAGATGTTTGTTGAAGTGTGACGGCATAAGTTTTAAAAGGCACTCTAGTATCATCCTAGTGTTGAAAAACCAGATCAGAACTCGAATGAATAATGACAGACGATAAATTTCTACTTGACTTCAACTGTCCGGTCACATCTCTGTTATTGGTTTTTTTTTTATTTCTTAGTTTTGGCGCCACCGTCTCCGACCATGTAATAAGAATTTGCCCAGTCATCTGTTGAGAAAGACAAAATAGAATACTTAGAATCCGGTTTTTTTCCAGCGGTACGCACATGCATCTTTTTTTTTTTTTTCTACTGAAATAGACACTCTGTGGGGAGTACCACCCCATTTGTAGAGAATTCATGGTGAGCACCTTCGCCCCCCCCCCCCTTTTCCCCCTAGTAATTAAAAAACAACACGCACTGTTTAAACGTATGTTTATCATCGTTTACGACGCGTGTAGGCAGTATGCTGAGAAACCATTGATCCGGCTGCTTCGAGATACCAGCTAAGTGATTTTGTGTATTTGAGTAGTATTGTTTGATTTGTATGTGCTGATGAAGGCTCCATAGCCGCAACGTTCACGTTTTGTTTTTATTTGTTATATTGTGAAGTTTGCTAATATACTTTTAGTTCGGTTTTATGTCTTCTCTTTATACATGCCAGTCCCAAACAAAAAGAAAGAAGGTTGACAGTGTGTTTGGCAAGCGTTCAGCACTTTGTAAAACAGCCATCCTGCCACATAAACTCACATAACCATATGTGATAGCGAGCCGAAGGAAATATGTGCAGAACATTTTCAAGAGAATTTTTACAGACTTAGCACACCAGAGTGTGCAGTGAGCACTGCTGATAGTTTACGCGATGGATTTACAGTGGAAACTGGAGGGAAACGGGTTCATATGATATTTTCTCTGTCATTTAGCATAAACATTGACTGCGTGGTGGGAAAAACGCACCGTGCTGGAAATATATAAAACCACAAAAATTTTCTTCTCAGTCAGTTATGACCATCATTCATGGCTCCTCACCAGGGCTGCCGAAGTTGGTACTTTCGTACAAATTTTGTACTTTTTGATTCTTGCCGAGCTCTAAATATAACCACGCGGTTCTAAACCCTCAGGACCCTGTCTTAAATGTGGTTTATACCAGCATGAAAGTCAGTTATCTAAGTGTACCCTTCAACAGAATTTGGGAAGCATTCAACGTAATCATCATCATCATCGTCATGTACCGTGCCGGTAGGTGTAGGCTGTCATGTTTCGCCATCGCACAGGGTCAACAAAATCCCGTATCCGCTCAATGTGTTTGTCCAGCCCCATCCATTCGGCCAGACCATCCAAGTATTTATCTGTGCCTTCCTCTTTTCTTTTTCCATCAGTCCTGCCAGTTGTAACCAAATTCTCCAGTCGATTTCCTCTCATAACAAGCCCAAGTACGCAGCTACGGGTCATTCTGGGTTGCACCAGAGACACCCTAGTGGTGTGTATGCGATACATCCTTGGCTTGCAGACTGCTGCAGGGAGGCACAAGGTGCTGCAGGCGAAGTCATATCTCAGGGTAGCTGCACAGACCATCCTATGCACGAAGCTCTGGGTGCAGTTAAGGGTCAGCGGCAGAAAAGAGGTAAGTCATGGATGGCTCAGGCAAAAAACGCAATCAGACAGGTTTGCATCTTTGAGAACATTAGGCGAGGAGAGGAGTGGGTAAAAGTGCCATCCGAACAGTTAGACTTGTGTAGGGTCATAATCACACTGAGCCGAGAATGCAGAGATGGAAATTTAGCAATAATTCAAGATAATGCTCGCTCAGGGGATTTGATCATTTACACAGACGGTTCAGTGTCAAGAGACAAAAGAGGTGCTTGGGGTTTCTTAGCAAAAGGTAATGGTCGACGTTTGGTGCAGGAAAACCTAGCATATAATACCACAACATCCATCTTAAGAATGGAGGTGGAGGCGGTCACTGCGGCTTTCCGCTGGCTAGAGAATACAACACACACACACACACATCGTGATTGTAACTGACTCATAAAGCATGCTGAGGAAGATCAGGACAGGCATGCTTCTGGCAGAGTGGCATGCTTCGCTGCGGAAGATACGGGTGAGTAGTTTTGTCCGGATTTTTTCATCGGGGTACGCCGGTGTGTTGGGAAATGAACAGGCAGACAAACTGGCTGGTTCTGCACAAATTGGGGGAATACTGATACATGATAAGGCAGACGTGGTTAGTGCCTTGTGGGAGAGCTTGTACAGTTCGGAGGAGCAGATGAATCTCTAGAGTCTGGTGAGACTGATGCAGGGTGAAGTGACGAGAGGTTCGAGGCTCAGATGCTCGAGGCTCAGAGAAAAGGCAAGACGGGCGTTTAATCAGAATGCTTCTGGCTCCATTAATATCGGAACTCTTCGCTGGCTGTTGAAGATGGGGACGGAGAGCCTTTGGGAGTGCCCCGAGTGCTGTGAGTGCTGTCGGTTCTTGAATCAAATCAAACAAAATCATAACAAATCCATAAAAAATTGACTGTCTAAATCTAACTGTTCTAATAGGTTTACGACTTGTATCTGTCTTCTTTAAGACTGCTTTGTTTGTTTTTCTATCCTTCCATGAGAAGCTCTGCATTCTTCTCAGAAACTCAATCTCTGCTGCGAGTAAATGTTTTTCTATCCTTCCATGAGAAGCTCTGCATTCTTCTCAGAAACTCAATCTCTGCTGCGATTAAATGTTTTTCTATCCTTCCATAACATTCTCTGCATTCTTCTCAGAAACTCAGTCTCAGCTGCGAGTAAATGTTTTTCTATCCTTCCATGAGATTCTCTGCATTCTTCTCAGAAACTCAATCTCTGTTGTGAGTAAATGTGTTTTTTTAATCCTTCCATGAGAAGCTCTGCATTCTTCTCAGAAACTCAATCTCTGCTGTGAGTAAATGTTTTTCTATCCTTCCATGAGATTCTCTGCATTCTTCTCAGAAACTCAATCTCTGCTGTGAGTAAATGTTTTTCTATCCTTCCATGAGATTCTCTGCATTCTTCTCAGAAACTCAATCTCTGCTGCGAGTAAATGTTTTTCTATCCTTCCATAAGATTCTCTGCATTCTTTTCAGAAACTCAATCTCTGCTGCGAGTAAATGTTTTTCTTTCCTTCCATGAGAAGCTCTGCATTCTTCTCAGAAACTCAATCGCTGCTGCGAGTAAATGTTTTTCTATCCTTCCATGAGATTCTCTGCATTCTTCTCAGAAACTCAATCTCTGCTGCGAGTAAATGTTTTTCTATCCTTCCATGAGATTCTCTGCATTTTTCTCAGAAACTCAATATCTGCTGCAAGTAAATGTTTTTCTATCCTTCCATAAGATTCTCTGCATTCTTTTCAGAAACTCAGTCTCTGCTGCGAGTAAATGTTTTTCTTTCCTTCCATGAGAAGCTCTGCATTCTTCTCAGAAACTCCATCTCTGCTGCGAGTAAGTGTTTTTCTATCCTTCCATGAGATTCTCTGCATTCTTCTCAGAAACTCAATCTCTGCTGCGAGTAAGTGTTTTTCTATCCTTCCATGAGATTCTCTGCATTCTTCTCAGAAACTCAATCTCTGCTGCGAGTAAATGTTTTTCTATCCTTTCACGAGATTCTCTGCATTCTTCTCAGAAACTCAATCTCTGCTGCGAGTAAGTGTTTTTCTATCCTTCCATGAGATTCTCTGCATTCTTCTCAGAAACGCAATCTCTGCTGCGAGCAAATGTTTTTCTATCCTTCCATGAGATTTTCTGCATTCTTCTCAGAAACTCAATCTTTGCTGTGAGTAAATGTTTTTCTATCATTCCATGAGAACCTCTGCATTCTTCTCAGAAACTCAATTTCTGCTGTGAATAAATGTTTTTCTATCCTTCCATGAGATTCTCTGCATTCTTCTAAGAAACTCAATCTCTGCTGCGAGTGTTTTTCTATCCTTCCATGAGATTCTCTGCATTCTTCTCAGAAACTCAATCTCTGCTGCGAGTAAATGTTTTTCTATCCTTCCATGAGATTCTCTGCTTTCTTCTCAGAAACCTAATCTCTGCTGCGAGTAAATGTTTTAAATTTTTTTTTTTTTTCTTTTTGGTTAACTTATTGTCCATTCTTCACATGCATATAACAACACAGGTTCTACGTAGCATCTTATATATTCTTGTTAGTGAGAATCTTGTGCACCTTTTAAAGGCAACATTTGACATGGCGATTTTCGTTCTAATTTCTACAAGGCATCGTTTAGCAGATGTTAGGATTGTTCCTTAATAATTTTATCTATTAACTTGCTTAAGAATTTTATCGTTTGATGTATTTCACACTTTGGTATTTCTTTTTTCTTGCTGATGACCATAACTGTTTTGTTTACTGTGAGCTATTACAATTTCCACTAAACACTAGACTTTAATTGTCTGAGGGTAACACCGTATCGTCTGTGTATCTTATATTATTTGTGTTACATCCTTCCGTGTTTCATATATTTTTTATGTCGCATGATTTTTCACTATATAAGGTAAGGATCGGGGCTGAGTGGTCTCGAGGTATGGCGTCCGCCTTGAGTGCTGGAGTCCCGGGTTCACGCCCCGTTGAAGGCTGGGATTTTTTCAAGTGGATTTCCAGTAATTTCCCCTGGTCTCTGGGTTGTAAGATCGGACACCTGTGTACACTGTTGCGCACGTCAAAAAAAATCCTTTGTTTTTTCTTGGCAGTTGGAAATAGAAAACAGGCTAAATTTGGAGTTTAAAATCCACCCGAAGTATTTCATGATCCTCGCTGGTGCAACGTAGTTCGTGCACTGCGCTGAGCTGCTTAAAACTCAGGCTTGAGTTAGAAGTAGAGCGGAGCACTTATGGGTTACACCCGTGTGCAATGATGTTGATCCGTTAAAAAAAAAAAAAAAAGTTAAACAAATTCCGGAGATGTTACACTTCCCTGTCGACACCTCTCTTGACATAATCAAACCTTAAGATGTCAGCCAACACCCCCCCCCCCCCCCGGCAAATCCTGATTCAAAAAGGCTTCTCTCCGGAGAAAAAAAAAAGGGGGGGGGGAGTCATTCAATACCTCGAATCGCTGGTTTGTTACTGCCATTGCTGATTCCGATGTCAATTGACAGTTAGAGGTAATCATGTTGGGGTGGGAAATATTGGGCTTTTACCTACTGTGATTTAGGACATATAAGGCCAGGGTCGCCGGAATGAGGTGTGTGGGGGCGTGGGCCATCTAGGGTGCCATCACTGGAAAAAAAAGGGGGGGGGGGGTAAAATTGCCAAATCCTGTTTTTAGCAATGACGAATGTGAGTGTGTGTGAATTTTAAAAGAGTGTTAAATCTTTTAATATGGCCAACAAAATTTAGTTGCCTTCCCCCCCCCCTCTCTCTCTCTCTCTCTCTCTCTCTCTCTCTCTCTCTCTCTCTACCGCTCTCTCTCTCTCTCTCTCTCTCTCTCTCTCTCTCTCTCTGTGTCTCTCTCTTTCCCTCTCTCTCCCTTTTCTCTTTAAATTGCATTCAGTAACTCTCTTTTCATTATAGGTTTCCCCAGAGCCTTTGTAACTAATGTTGTTGTTGTTTTTTTTTTATGTGATACAACCTATTCTTCTGTACATCCGTATTTATAGAGACTCAGTTCGAATTTCTAATCACATGCTCATTGTCCAAGTTTCAGCACCCTAAAAACATATTACGAATTTGTTGATACACTTCATTTACTCAAATATATTGTCATATTAACGGCTTTTCATTACGTTGTAATTAATACCCACTTAAACGAGATTCTTTCCATGCACTTTCCCTCAAATAAATGTATACGAGACCTTAGTTCCCCTACGGTTTTCTTTGTGTCTGCCAAGTGTTGTTCAATTTAAAAGTATAAGAAAAACGAGGAAGCAGAAATACGCACATATACAAGCCTCCAGTCGAATAAATTTACTTACGCATCCAATCTTTCTTGCGAGGAAATCTCTCCTGTATTGTCTGCCTGGTCTTGGGAAGTTCGCAGGGCCATTTCTCTACTATCCCATGTTGCCTGAAGTAGATGTAAATCATTGGATTGCAAATCATTGGATAAAATATACTGGAACAATTAATTTGTTGTTCGGTTGATTATTCAGCTAAGGAAGTAACTGATTTTTTGGCTCTCCTTGCAATAACGGTGGCTAGTTGGACGGCGACGGCCGCTTAGTCGGAGTTCAGTCCCCTGGCTGCAGTGCAATTACGGAGTGGAAAAGAGGGAACGACACAAATGACATGATTAGGGCTAGGGGTATGGTTAAGGGTAGGGTCCGGGTTAGGGTTTGGCTAATGTGAGTCGCAGCGCGTGGTCTGGGAGCCATGTTGAACTCACTGTGTTTTGTAATTCGTGCCGTGTTCACTCCGTAATTGCACTGCAGCCAGGGGACTGAACTCCGACTAAGCGGCCGTCGCCGTCCAAGTAGCGACCGTCAAGAAGAACCGATTTTTTTGCTCGTTCACTGAGTGGTTGCTTAGTAAATGATTGTTTAATTGATTTTGTATGTATTTATTGATTGATTAAATTATTATTTAATCGATTTACTGAATAAGTGATTGATTTGTTGAATATTTGATTGACTGATCGATTGATTTTTGATAACATTATGTTTGGTTGATAATCGGCTTGAATCATAATTCAGATTAATTATATCAAAAACTCTGGCCTCTAAGGACTTTAGAAAGTTTGATTGATTCGTTGATTGATTTAAGGGAGTGGTTAGCTGGTTGATTGATTGACTGAATGATTGATTAATAATTTTTGTTTGGTTTGGAGTCAGCTTCAGTCCTAATTCAGACTAATAAAATCAAAAACTATAGCCACTAAGAACGATAAAAAGTTTGGCTGATTCATTTATTTTGGTGGATTAACTGATTAATACTTCGGTTGATTGATTAAACTGTTGGGGGCTGATTTAAACTAATGAAATTAAAATCTCAAACGTCGATAAATGCCAAAGTGCATCTATTAAAAAAATCTTCAACCTTCTTCTTCTTCTTCTTCTTTTTCTTCTTCTTCTTTTTCTGCTCATTATTATTATTATTATTATTATTATTTTTATTATTATTATTCGCTTTCACCGGCTGTGAACTACGGTTAAAAGTTCTGGTTGTTCGTCCACTTCTGGACTTATGCCCTCTTTCAGAACCGGGGTGTTGCGTTCACATCCGTTTTACACATCTGACAAATTTGTATGCAGACTGTTGTTTCCTTGCGGTAACCGAGCCTATAATGTTGAAAGCCAGAGGCAAACAACTTCCTCACGGTAATCCTGCAGCTGACCAAGCCACCCAAATTGTGTTAGTGCTAGAAAGTATCACAGGTTGCAACCACTAAACACTCACCTAAATGTGGAAGACAAGGGAGAACCATCACATTACCCTCTATGAGTTGAGTTTTGAACCGACATTACAACATTCGAGACATTCTCATAAGCTCTTTGTGTCAATCTTCAGCAGCCAGCGCATAGTTCTAGTACTGAGAGTACTATTAGCCGTCTGAGTGTATGCCTGTCTTGCATATCCTATGTGTGTAGGGTGTCGGGCAGATCGCTGCACAACTGTGTTCTAGACCGTGTTGATCTATTTGTGCTTCCGAAAAGTTCACTCGCTCCCACAGTGCCGGAATCTATCTAGCTTGTCATGCTTCACGCGTAGGTTACACATTTTTTAGAGAGATGTGACTTATTATAGACATGCAAATGCATCTTCGAGACTGTCGTAATTGGAAATCTCCTAACCGTCCCTGTCGAGACTCGTTGGCAGTCATGTCTATACTAGACCTTCTGTCTCGTATACGTGCAATAATTTGTGACAGAGATGATCTTCCACAGTCCGTGCCGTGGGGCGTCGTTAATCGTGTCTATACATTATTTTCTGTCTCGTCTACATGCAATAATTTCTGACACAGATGATTTTCCTTAGTCCATGCCTTGAGTCGTCGTTAGTCATGTCTATATATTATCCTATGTCTCGTGTACTTTCAATCATTTATGATACAGATGATCTTCCATTACAGACTGTCCAGTCCAGATTCTTCTCTCTCAGCCTACCTCTGTCTCTGTCCCCATCTAAATTTCTCACCGTCACGATGTGCTGCAGTTTTTCTCCTTGGCAGGACATGGTCAAGAAATTTAGATTGTCTCCTTCTGGTTTGGGTAATCAGTTCTCTTCGTGGGTTAATTTCTTTCAAGACAACATTACCCTTTTTTATTATATGTCCAATTGAAAATATGTCAACAATGATGTCGGAGACGGTTTAGCGGTTATGGAAACAGTTTCATAGTTCAGGTATTATGGGGATTTACAATCAACTATTTACATCTTGCTTCCGTTGATTTTGACAATGTATGAAACTGGTGGCGGCCACACACACAAAACAGCAAACTACCGAACGTAACACTGCCTAGTTAAACTCCAGGACGACCATTAAATACTGGAGCTGGTTTCAGGTGTCTTTAAAAGATCAGTGCAAAAGAGAAGCAGAACTAGTTTACTTTCCCATAAAACACATTTACGAAAGATAAAATGGAAATAACGACTTTAACGCCCTCATTAGCATACATACACGAAGGCCAATGGCACTTATTGTTGTGTTGTGCCATTATATGTCACAGAGGGCTCGCAGTTAATTTTCCCATTCCGTTCTGTTGTGCACTTATTGTTCTGTTGTGCCATTATATGTCACAGAGGGCTCGCAGTTAATTTTCCCATTCCGTTCTGGTGTGTGCAATCACTTTGATACCATAGATTGAACCCAGTCTAACACCTTTTGTCTTATCTCATTAACGATAGCTTTAGGGTATCTTTTGAACGTACTCGGCCTAGAGGGAATAAGGCACCTGGGTGTAACCAGAGAGTCTGGCCGGCTCACTACACTCAGAGGAAAGGCAAGACGAACATAAAACCAGATTGTGACCGGTACCATCAGCACTGGAACTGTGCTGGCTGCTGAAGATGAGGACGGAGCACGCATGGGAATACCCCGAGTGCTGTGATGTAAATTCTTGACTCAACTCATCTCAACTTGGACGTTCTCTTTTCCTCGATCCCCCTGTTTCACCTTCCAATGCCTGTTTGGGGATTTCCTGTTCCTCTGTCTCAGAATGAGAAGATACAAGTACGACAATAATGCAGCTATGTAAATAAAACTAGCAAAAGACCTTATTACTGACAGATGAAACTAGACTCGGCATATGGTGCTAGAACCATGTTTTATAGACAAATCGGAACTCGGTGTTCATGTGATCAGCATAAAGCCGGCTGCCTTTACCTTATCATCATCATCAGGTGCCTTGTCGACTAGCGTGGGCGATCATGCCTCTCCACAATCTGAGATCTCCTGCAGCCTGTATCAGTTCGTGTGCCGACACACCTCTATGCCGTGCAACAAGACTGTCAGGGATCTTCTCTCGTTGTCTTCCCCTATACCTCCTGCCACAGATCTTTCCAGTGGTCACAGTCTGTTCCATTTTCCACATTAGACTTTACCTCACAGGACTTTAACTGGTACCCAGCCAATGACGGATCAAACTGGCAGCTACTCATTTTTTTTTTTTTTTTTCTAGAAAAATATAGTCCGGATTCCATCCCACGACCTTTCGATCCTCAGACGAACGTGCTTTCATTGTAAAATTGACTTCTTCAAAACAACACTCCATACCTAGCATCTTCATCCGGTAGTAGTGATTTTTTAATTGGTTCCAGGGGGGTGAGAATAGGTAAGGGGTCTACGGCTGCCATCTGTTCCACTGAACTGTTGACACAATCAAAGACATGTTTATGATAGCACTGGTTTTTAATGTCCCTTTTCCACGCCTTTAGGCGCACTGGGAATATAAGGCTGGTCCTATATTTTTATAAGACCAATCGGCACTTAGTGGGTGATGTGGTCGGCATCACGCCGGCCACCTTTACTTCCCATGACTGTACCTGGAACCTACTCAAGGCTGGGTCAACCTGGGAGTCAAGGTCATTTTTGAAGGGGAAAAAAGTCCGATGCACAAGCGGGCGTCTAGCCACCAACGCCACGGCGATTCCCATAGCACTGTTTTAACACTGTTTATAACAAACGTTCAGGCGCGTCGCCGCTAAGAAATGTGATTCGGGGGGCGTCAACCCCCTTGTAGTTTTCAAGGTGGTGGGGCTCGATGGGCTTAATTCTTGTTTAAGTGCAAAATATTAACACTTCCATTCTTAGAATTTAAGTTGTGTTATATTAGTCTGCATGTCATAATCTAGTTTATGTAACATGTAGGGAAGTTTGATGAAACTATGATTGGTCCAGAAAACCGACAGTGATTTATTTAGTGCTCCTAGACAAATGAAGAGATCTCAACCTTACCAATGCTGTGCTATCAGTGTCAAACATGGACACTGTTTTCACAGGACAAAAGAAAAATAGTCGCGACTGAAATGAAATGCAAACGTATTGGCTAGGTTTAAAAAGAAAAGACGGACTTCCAAACGATGATGTCAGAAGGAGAGTCGGCATAGAACTAATACTGAACTTTCTCGGCAGACAACAGATCCAGTGGTTTGGCCATGTAACAAGATGGGCAACAGACAGGGCACCACAGAGAGCAATGTTATACAGATACAGTGGTAACAGAGGCAAAGGTCGACTACGCAAATATTGACGATATAAATTTCAGGAAACACTGAAAATTATTATATAGGAAGCGAACAGAAGAGCCCATTGCAGAGATCCCTTACCGCCCTGACGCTGCGAGACATTTCAGGACTAGAGGCAACAAAATGTAGAAGAAAATAAAAGCTATTGTTTTATTATTATATATTATTATGTTCAGAAATATCACATATATATAATCGTGTATATAAAATAACATGAAATGTCTAAACACATATTTAAAAAGGATATCTCTACATTATTACGACGTTGGTGCTCCATTGCTTGGCTCTACACCGCCCGCCACCCCCCCCCCCCCCCACACCTTTTTTCCCCCATATTTCCTATGCAAAAAACAGTAGGGCTCAACCCCCTCCCCCCCCCCCCTCTTTTTTTTTTTCTCCCTATTCTGCCCAGGAATTATTTGGGGGAAGGGGAGGGGGGTTTCTTCATTTTTTTCTGGCAATTCAAGATGTCTTAGCCCCCACCCCCTTCTCCCCTTCCCACCCCCTTTCCCGCTCCCTCATTTCTGAGTCTATGCCAGCGTTCAGAAATACGGTATTCTTTTGTCAACCAGAATGTCAGCATTTTTTTTTTCAGAATGCCCTACCCTTTTTTCTTCAACACAGACATACACACGCACAGACATGTACGTACATACATAAATAGAATTATACTTTTCACAGCTGTGCTGATTTAATTACGGTTACACAAATCCTTTCCATTCAACAATATGTAAACGCCCATTGTGTGTTTACTAGGTGAAGATAAACTAATCCTCGTAAGTGTCTGTGCTGAAAATGAAAGGTGATTTAACTCCTTCAGTACTACTTAGGGGTTACGTTAACAAAATCTACTCTATGTTGTTGTTACTGTACTTAGTCAATGTTTGCGTTGGATAAGTTCAGATATTAATATTTTAAGACAGGAGAAGTCAAAGCATTAATGGGTGGGGGGGGGGGGGGAGGCGATTGGTCGAGTGCCGTTTGCCTCACCATCTGAACTGAAAGTCGTAGGTTCGTTTCACGGTTGCGTCATTCGGGTCACGTGTCAGTTTGTTCGCAGGTCTATGGCTATCGTCGTCGGAGCTACAGGGTTCGTGTTTCGCGTCGCGCTCTTAACGGAGGGGGGGGGGAGAGCTAGCCCTTCTGCGGAGAGAAACTGAGCCATTATGGGATAAAACTTAATGGAATGAAGTCGATCCTCTGACCTTTAAACTTTTAACCTGCGACAATTTGAATGGGTCACAATCTGCATGCCATGCCACATGAAACAAAACAATAAATTAAAAAAATACACATGCACACAGCTCGTGATGAGTCGCTGGATACTGAGCGAGTTGAGACAGATTCAGAAATCCAGAAGATGTCACGGCATCAGCAGGAACATCCGAATTAATTGTAAATGTTTTATTCCACGGTTTGTCTTTTTATAGCAACCCTTACCGATGCAGAACTGTGCGATACATGGGGATACAGTTTAGTGAATCCGTTACGGTGTCAATTTAATTTGTGAGCAGGAACAGGCTCCAGAACCTGGTAACAACTAGCAAGATTGGTGGGGAAAGAGCAGGGAGAAGGCAATGGGATCAATAACTGGACAGCTTGGTCATCTGGTTATGGCGAGGCGCTGGAAGATTTACTGACAGCCTAGGACTTAACATCAAAACACACTAAGCAACTGAACGCGCCTTACCTCGGCTTCCTGTCTATTAAATAAAAGGCCTAGCCCGGCTCTCTAGCGTAGTTGGCTTAACCGGATTGCGCGGTGACTGGGTGACGAACTCCTTGTGGTCCGGGTTCACTCGCGGAAGAAGGCAGAAAAGCCACATTTCTCCCAGATTTACGGTATTTACAATGGAATCAAGGCCGAAAGGTTGCGATATCCAAAATACTGAGCCTAAGGGTTAACAACTCATGGCTTCTGGATTCTAAAATAAATAAACAATAGAAGGTCTAGCGGCACAAGGCAGATACTGGAGACAGAAAAAGAAGTTAGTTTGCCTTCTCTGTGTGTTTTTCAATGTCTACTCACAGATCATAGTTGTTGAGAAATGAGCCAATTCCAAACGTCCTTCCGGATACCCTCCCAGAACCAAACCCTCCCAGCATCTTTGACTTGGGGCGGTCACGGTCATCTGGCGGGTGGACACTGATGAAAACAGATGGTATTGTACATGGCTTATTTGTTACCCACGAGAGAAAGAATGGGTCGAATTTTTTTAAGCGAAAAGCTTCTAGTTTAGGATACCCCCCCCCCCCCCCCACCCATTCATATCTGTGGTGAGATTCATTGCCCTCCGAACAAAATATTGTAAAAGACGACCAATTAGGGGTATCTGAAATCGTATATGTGGGGCCAAAAGGCGCAGATATGGCAGCCTAGCTGTAAACCACAACACTATGTAGCTACCACGCTTTTAAGATCGAACGCGCATGGAGGAGAAGAAGAAGAAGAAAAAAGGGGATGGGTAGGAGATAATGTCTTTAAAGAAAAAAAAAGAAGGTAACGTTTGTTGTATCACTGGCATCATGAGAGCTAATAGACTGAAATGGTTGGGGCATATTGAAAGAATGTCTTATGACAGAGAAGAAAAAACTGTATACACAAGGGAGATGAATGGTCGTAGACCACGAGGCAGACCAAGAAGATGGAGAAATAATGTCCAGGCAGACCTGCAAACACTTGGTGTCACCAACTGTAAAGAAAAAGCCAAACAGATAGATGAATGGAGGCAAGTGATATCTGCAGCAATGAACCTCAAGGGCTGGGAATGTTGAAAAAGAAGAAAAAGAAGAAAGGCTGTTGTGAGCCTCGCACTGTCTTTAGGTGTAGAGTGTAAGAACTTCACAAATGCTGACCATCGGTTCATGACGTATCAGCCATTGGTTCATGGCGTACTGCCATTGGTTCATGACGTAGCAGCCATTGGTTCATGACGTAGCAGCTATTGGTTTATAAAGTAGCATCTCCTTTCTCTCCGAATTTCTCGAGAACTCTCAGTAAAAACAACACAGGCCTCATAAGGCTATGATTGCGTGAGGTGCTGGCCATAGTCGGTCACACTCACCGGTCTGGGGCATCACGACAGGGATGGACTCTCTCATGAGATTTTTAGCTGTCAAACATAGTTCACGCAAAGTATCTGAGATCTCATATGAGATCTGCAGCCAGGGGCGCCGAAATGAAGAAAAGCTGGGCAGGCCTCAGGCGAGCTTAAGCCTTTTTCAGTTGTGCAAAAATAATTATTTTAAATTTATTATTATGTATGTTTTTAATAATAATAAATATTTAAAACAAAATGTCTATACTTAAGTATATAAACCATAGTTGCTGACCCTTGCTTCACGTAGGATGATTTTCTGAGGTCCGTCATTTGGGATTCATTGTTTATCTATCTCACTCATCCCCTGAATAGAAAATAAAGAATAAGTTTATCATATTAAGAAACACTTCTTCTTCTTCTTCTTCTTCTTTCTTCTTCTTCCTCCTCTTCTTCTAATTCTTCCTCGTCTTCTTCTTTTTCCTCCTGATCTTCTTCTTCGTTGTCCTGAAATTGACATTGGTTTTATTGAGTCTTTATTGCTCCCACTTTTGCGTTTCTAGAATGACATAATTGATGTCATCGCAGTATATTAGAGATAGTTTTTATTTTTTTAAATATATCCCACTTTTGCTGTCATAAATGCCAAGGCTACAAATGACCACCACCCTCTTCTGGCTGTGCTACGCCGCCCTTAACACCGATATAGGTTAGCTGCGTATCCTTTACAGGACGTTGCAGAACCAACCCCAACAGCTCCTGGCTGTTGTGTGGTTTTTCTAGGCAATTTACGCCTAGTAGTTTGCCATTGCTTACTGGACGGTCGGCTTTCTTGATACCACTGTTGAAAACAACGCAAGGCGCATGGCCCGCAGCTGGGATCGATAACACCGATATACTCCTAGAAAATTCACCAAAATATAGTTTCATCTTCGTTGTCCTGTTGTGCCATTATGTGTCACATTTGGAGCTCGCAGTCTGTTCCTCCATTCCGTTCTATTCTATACAGTCACTTCAGCATCATGGATGCAAGTCAGTCCAGCACCGTTGGCCCCTCTCGTCAACATTCGTTTTAGGGTTTCATTTTTTGACGTCCTCACTTCCTCGATCTTTTATTTCCTCTTTTAATGCCTGTTTGGTGATTCTCTGCTTGTTAACTCTCATGGTACGTCTGAAAGGTACAATTTAAACATCTAAAAATAGGATAGATAACACAAATGATGAAGATGATGATGATCACATCTTTTGTTTTTCTTCTTTCTTTTAAATGAGCAAGCATATAAAAGCAACATTGGTGTCAGAGCACAATAGGAAAATCAAACAGATAATAAACGTATTAACCGGACTAATTAGCAGAGGTCAGTTCTGGATACTTGCACCTGAACAGATGTTTTGTTTGATTCCACCACATCTGTTAGCCACCTTTTGGACTGGTTTCGCTCTCAAGCTTTGTATAACACATACTAGTTAGGGTATATAGGTATTTTTTAAAATACACACACAATTAAGAGCAGTTTTCGAAAGCCCTCGACAGCTTGTGTTGGTCACTGTGTGGCTTTGTCAGGACTTACTCATAAGTACGACGGCCTTATTGTCAAAAATCAACACAAAGTCGTCTACTACCAGATCGCTGGAATGTTGTGATTATGAAACTAGGTTCCGAACTCCTAAGCCATAGAAAGTAGAAATCAATGTAAGTAAAATCGAACTAATTTTAGAATATAGAGAATAGCAGATAACACGCACAGAGTGAGAGAGAGAGAGAGAGAGAGAGAGAGAGAGAGAGAGAGAGAGAGAGAGAGAGAGAGAGAGAGAGAGCGAGAAAGAGAGAGAGAGACAGAGAGAGACAAAACCTGTTTAAACAAAATAGTTGAATGTGAGCAGATCACATAGGAGACCAAGAAGACGACAGAGAGATAATACACGTGCAGAATTACAAACACTTGAAGTCCCTAAGTGGAAAGAGATGGTCATCACAGAGATAAAAGAAGCGAGCGATTATCTGCAATACGGACCTCAAGGGCTCAGAATACTGAAGAAGAAGAAGGAGAAAACAATGTATTTACAAGTTAACGGACGCTAACGTCAAATTAGTCAGTACTCGCATGTGTTCACTTCTTAATCAATCAGTCAGTCAATCAGCATGTTCTTTAAGTAACGTCACTCTCTTCACGACAAGTTTATATTTCTCTAGTCATTTCTATAGGCCGGTACGCTTTAAGAGCCAATGCATCTTCAATGTCCTGTATCCACATTTACGGAGGTCGGCCTCTGAACGTTTTCCTGAATCTACAGGCTCCATCGCGGTTTTCTCATGACCAAAATGGTGCTCAACATGTTCAAAATACCTCAGCTTTTGAGACAGGGTGCTGTTTGCGAGCCAGTTCTTAATGTTCAGGTCATGCAGAATGTCGATGTTTTTCGTCTTCTTGGTCCCCGATTTTTCCAAGAATATTTATGTAGCATTTCAGTTCAAAAGCTCCGACTTCTGTTGTCTTTGGTTTCAATGACTGTCGACCAAGAGCTGTAGGTTTTCTATAATATAATTTTACAAACCTTCTTGAAACCCAACATAGCTTTAAGGCAGCATTTATCTCAGAATGTATGTTTAATTACGTTTCATATTTCTTGGATTTGGTAAGTTTGTGTCTTTAAAAAGAGGTATAGTCATGGTAGAGATAGACGTACAGCCATAAGGCAGACATTCAGTAGTAGTTTTCTAGAGTGCGGCGCGGGATGGTTTTATGTTCTGATGCTCTGGTCGAAGTGAAAAACCTTCTCCCTAAAGTCTTCATCAATCATGTTCTTCATGTGGGCATACCTAACTTCGTCTAGCCCCGGCGCTGTGCCTTTTGCTTTTTAAAACAAACATTATCATTTATAGGTTATATATTATAGACAGATTACCTCTAACTGAATTTCTAAGTTTCCTATCGTTATGATCAGTTTGGACTAGAAGTCTTTCCAAACACGCTTCCCTTTCCTCTGTTTCTGTTGTCACTGGCATACCATTAACATTGTATATAATTCCTTTGCATCTGTCTGTGAAGTTTCCAAAAACTACCCAGTGATTTATCCCATCAAATTTCACTAATTAAATTATTCAAATTTAGCAGTTTTTTTTTTTTTTTTTTGCATCCGCTTGAACTTTTATACTTTTTCTTTTTTTTTTTTAAACGCCTTTTAGCATCTCTTTTGTAACATGTAAGCTGAATTTCGTACTTTCTGTAGTTATTGAACTGCTGTTCGATTTGCTCTCCGTGCCTGTTCTACTTCTTGGGTGAGCCATGCTGCATACCTTCTGTCGAAATCGTCCAAAGAGGGTACTGGCCCTCTCATACTTAAGTCTTGCGTGTTCTCACCGCCCGTTAGTGTATACTTGATTCAACCACGGCCAACTCTAGATATACAGCCGGACGTGATTCAACTTGCTCAGGTCGAGAACCACATGCTTCACCCCATTCTTCACCAGCAGACATTGCCCATGTCCTCCCTATCCGGTAGAATTCATTTAACTAATGTATACAGGACACTCATGCTTATCTATGTTTAATTCCTGAAGCATGATGATGTTAAAGTCATAAATCAGCCTCTCCAGTGAAGGTCCTCTCCGCCTGGCACTAAGACAACTCCAATAACCTTCTCTAATATACTTTAATCCCAGACGCTCCGTTTTCCTCTTCGAGCTCCCGCTCTCCTGTTTCTACGCCTTCCCTCTAACTTTCCTCGTCTTCTCCTCTTCCCACTCTCTTCGTTGCCACCCGCAGGTGGTATTTAGCACAGAACAAGCACTTCGTAGCTCCGGCGATTATTCTTTTTATTATTAAGTATAAAATCCATAAAAAATATTTTTTCAACATCAGAACTCCCCTACATAAAATCAACACCTTTAGGATTAGCTATTAGGCAAAGTGGCCAGAATGACTGACCATTGCCGGCTATATCCATGGATTGGCGATCAGTGACCAAGTGAGAAATTATAACATCAGACAGACTGTGTAAACAACATGCTGCACTAAATCACGGTCTTCTCTATATATTAGAGAGGGCAGCGACCAAATTAACTGAGAAGCAGAACTCAACAGACTTGGACATCTCATCAGAATGCAACGACAGCCAACATGTAATATTGAAGATAATGAAATGGCAGACAAAGAAGCAAAGAACGGTAACAGTCATCATCATCATCCCGTAACACTGCGTCGTTGGGTCAGCAGTTTCTGGTAATCTGGTAATTTCTATTGACTGTGTGTCTGATCAGCTCTCTCCACCTTTGGCGGTCAGTTGCGATGGACTTCATGCCTGAGGCTTGTCGAGTCAGTCAGGTTCTGTAACCAGGTCTTTCTTGGTCTGCCTCTTAACTCTACAGAGTCCTGCGGTATTGTTTTTGAGAGGCCGTTAGATCTTATTACATGTCCATACTACTGCCTTTTTTTTTCGCCTTTTCATTTGAGTTAAAAGAGGTTCATAGTTGCTAATGTGCTGTACAATTATATGACGAACCTCTTCGTTTGTAATGTGATCTCTGTGTGATATGCCAAGAATTTTTCTGAAACATCGCATTTCTAATGCTTGTTTGTATCTTGCTTTCGAGTTCAACTGTTAAGGTCCACGTTTCACAGACATATGTAAATGTACTAACAGCTAGTGCTATGAGCAATCGAATCTTAGTTTAGCATGAAATGTTCTTGGATTTCCATAATGTTTGCTGCTTGGCAAGGACTGGTGTTGTCTAGGCAATCCTAGACATGATTTCTGGTCTTGACCCCATGTCACTTATAATGGATCCTAAATATCTTAAACTATTGACTTTTTCTAATTAGTGACCTTTAACACACATTGGTTCTAAAAAACACTTGTAGCT